GAAGTGTTAGTGATTGTAAAAAGACGATACGAATGTATCCTATCACTCAAACTGACAATTTTTGAAAAATACTACGTCTTCAATCAACATCACAAAGATACTTATTCGGACTATGTACTGACTGGCTTAAATGAGAGGGTTTCTGCTTGCTAAACATCGTAGCCTCATGAGGAAACTTAGAATTCATTCTCTTAGCGAGTAAGGAATAAGGAAGTCTGGCAACAGAAAGAACACTTATATTCAGAATCAGGGAAAGATAGCTAGATGTCCTTGGACACATAATGAAGGAAAGCTTCGAAAATTTAACCCTCACGGGGCATATCGAGGGCAGAAGAGACAGGAGAAAGCAACGAGCCCTTTACCTGACGAGATGCCGGAAAGTGGTTCAGAAGACTTAGTAAATGGGGAGAAAAAACTGCTAAGGGACTATCATGTTGAGGAGAGCTATCATCGGCTATGTCTTGAAGGGATCTTCAAGAAGCGGAATGCTTATTTACAGTGAACGGTAAATATTGACAAGAAACAAAAGAAAAAAAAAACTCCGATTCTTCGTATAACCCCATCACCGAAATCTAAGTGTGACAGAAATACTAGAAAAAAAGCTAAAAGAAAACTCGAGATTTAAAATCATGAAAATAAATCCCTGGCTCAAACTATCACACAATCACGCACCCATGCAGGCAAGCAAGAGAAAAAGGGGAAGACAGCTAACCACTTACTTGACGTGCTTGTATGAATGGATGACAGAACGGGTAGCGGGGTCTTTAGCGAAGGGAGTAAAATGCTCAGAGCCACAGGAGATAAGAATTTGTAGATAGCAAACGATCGCCCATGTCCCGAAGGGACGCGGTACAAAAAATAAGAGCCGCTTACGGTCACATCTTGCTAAAAGCACCGGTTCTCGTTCGATCTCAGAAGTTAAGCAATGTCGAAACAGGTCAGTACTTAGATGGGAGGGGGTAGTATTAAACAGGTCAGTACTTAGATGAAAACAGTGATTATTTAAACGGGGTACTGTAAGCAACCACCTACAATATGAAGTATATTTCGGTATTAAATAACCAAGGAAGGGTTGATAAACTGTAAAAAATAATAATTCAGACAATATAATCATGCTGAGCACCCAAATTATCACCTTGGCCGTAAACGAAAATATTAGTCAAAAAAAAAGTTACATTTTTTAAAAAACTTTTTTTTGTGATGCTTACCTTGATTTGATCAATATAGCTCCTCTCTGTTCCATAGTAAAGGGTCGGCGAATGACGATCCGGACCTCAATGCTAGCAACCCCCCCCCACTCACGATTCTGTAAGTGCTCTTATATTTGCATGCTTAAGCTTGACACAAGGACTACATTAATGGAGCGCCAATTGAAGCTCTAAATCTCCTTACAGTTACGAACCGGTCAGTGAGATATACGTAATATGTATCGTGGTGTGACAGGTGCGCAGACGATAATTAAACTTTTACTTCCAGCTATACATTCAGCTCAACTTAATCATGCGTAAGGTTTCAGTTTTGAATTTATCAGCGGCAATCGAGAATAGCTGCTCGTGAGGCGAGCTTCCGGGGTATATATACATGCACATACATACATACACATGCGTCTATGTATACTCAATGCAAGGCCCAAAAGCCACACAAGTTAGAGGCTACTGCTATAAGTGCGTAATGAGAGGAAGTAAGAAATGCTTATTATGAGGATATGTTTGATAGATAACGGTTGATATTAAACTTAGTGTGGTTAATTGATGGGGGAAGCACCCGCTCAGGAGTCTGTTTCATAAAATAACCGTTCTAGGAAAGGAGCTGTTTGAGTTGAACTTTCTCCTTACTAATAGAATTATGACGAGAAATGACGATAACTCGACCCTGTGTACCTTGCATGGCGAGTCCTGTCTGTGAGCTGGTGGAACTAAGGAATGCAGCTCGTCTGAAAATTTGTCATGGAAAAAATGGTTAGTATCATTTCATCTGTCGGAAAGGGGTTGCAAAAAAAAAAAAAAAAAATAAAAGACGATTGAAAAGTAACTCCCTATTTTAAAATACTTATAATTTATTTATTAACTATAATTTTTACAAGAAATGGATATGAAAGGAAAGTGTTTAGCATGAGGTTTTATTTAAAACTCGATACGGTCACAAAATTTCGCTACCAGCTTTTCGAGTCGCCCAAGAATTACGTCAACTGATTTCCCCAGAAACTCTTGTGTGGAAGACGTACTTCTTGTATACGCCCTTCAAGTCCTTCCAAAGACTTAGTTAGGTATAATAGACGTCTTCTTTTAAACAACCCCAAAGAAAAAAGTCACAGGGTGTTAAGTCAGGTCTTCTGGCCACTCATACATAAAATAAGGAGTTACTTTTCAGTCACCCTATACATGTATATGTAAATTGTCTATAAATTCTATGAAGATTTTTACAGCTTTAAATCCTTGTAAATGTTTTGATTAGTTTATTTTCGCCAGACTTAATTTTAAAAATAATTTTTCATTTGTCTTAGACCGGTTACCAACCGAAGCTAGGGAACCCAAGTTTACCCTACTATTTAACATGACAGCTGGGAGAAGAAGAGGGGGTTCCATGCCTTTACCTAAAACTGCGAGAAAGAGAAAGACACCGAGAAAAATGAAAGTAGCAAAAGTTGAGCGATAAGTAAATGAAGAAAGAAAGAAAGAAAGAAAGAAAGAAAGAAAGAAAGAAAGAAGGTATTAGAAAGAAAGAAAGAAAGAAAGAAGAAAGATGGTATTAGAAAGAAAGAAAGAAGTTATTAGAAAGAAAGAAAGAAAGAAGGTATTAGAAAGAAAGAAAGAAAGAAAGAAAGAAAGAAAGAAAGAAAGAAAGAAAGAAAGTGAAAAAATACAAATAAATAGAAACACAAAGAAAAAAAAGAAAGGAAGAAGTAAAGGTAGAAAATAAAGAGGAAAAGAGAGAGAGAGAGAGAGAAGAAATAGGAACGGAAAAAGAAAGAAAGAAAGAGAATAAGGAAAAAGAAAGAGAATAAGAAAGCGAGAATGAAGAGAAAAAGAGAGCGGGAAAAGGGAAAACTTACGTCGAAAGAAAAAAAGAAAAAGAAAAATTTAAACCAGAGGAAAAAAAGAAAGAAAGAATAATTGAATGAAAGATAGAAACTGAAAAATATAAAAATACGAAAAAGATAAAGAAAGACAGAGAGAAACAAACCGAAAAAAAACACTTTTAAAAAGTGAGAAAGAGAAAAAGAGAAAGATAGAAAGAAAGGAAGAAAGAGAAGCACCAGTAAGAAAAGGCGTCAAAGAAAGAAGCAAAGAAAGAAAGAAAGAAAGAAGGAAAGAAAGAAAGAAAGCTAGCAAGAAAGAAAGAAAGAAAAAAGAAAGAAAAATAAATAAAGCAAAAAAGCAAGCAAGAAGGAAAGACAGAAAGAAAGAGAGAAAGAAAGAAAGAAAAATAAAGAAAGAAAGAAAGAAAAAAGAAAGAAAGAAAGAAAGAAAGAAAGGAAAGAACGAAAGAAAGAAAGGATGGAAAGAAAGAACGAACGAACGAATGAACGAACGGAGGAAGATTCAAATGGAAACTTAATGCAAAATGAAATCAGTCGATATAATTTTAATAAGAAGTGTAGATTATTTTATGACGGATCTAGTAGTAGAAAAAAACAGTGCTGCTTCATATAGTCTTCTGGGGAGATGCACTTTACACGAAAATAAACGTCAAACAATTTTTTTAAGATTTTACATTTACGGCTATGTAGTTCGCTTATAAATTACGAGAACTATTTCTGATATTGAAAGTTCAATTCTATCAATAGCTCGAAATAAAGACAAGAAAAAAACTAAAGAAAAAGAAGAGATAGCCTAGATTAAGCAGAAGAAAAACAAAAACAGAAACTCACGCATGCAAACGCTTTGTTAGCTAGACTTAATGTATGACGGTCTGCCTTAACGAGTCTTGTGACACGTTCTTGTCTCTTAACCCGGAATTCAAATGTGGATGTGCGAGTGGTTTGATGGAATGAGAAATAAAGGGTTCAGTTTCAAATTAGGGTCTAGTCAGTAGCATTCACGTTTCGTAAAAAAAATGCCCTCTGGTTGAAAGTTATGAAAACTTCTCCTCGCAGCTTTGATAGACTTGTGCCCTCAAGCATCGGTTGGTAACTTGGCTAGGTGTAACCTTAAGTTTTATGCGTATGTTTTATTTTATGTAAGTTTTACGGTTTCGTTTCCCGCCCTTCTCGCTTTTGGAACTCTCTTCCGGCTCCATGCTTTCCGGCAAACTTTAATTTTCAAATATTTAAATACACTATCAATCGCTATCTACTCTCCTGATTACATTTCTTTTTTTTTTTTTTCGCGTCCATTAGTAATATTTCTGTTTTCTAATTCTTCCACACCTATTAACCTCCTTGTGTCTTAGTGGCTTTATTGCCTTGCTTCGGGTGAATTCGTTTAAGGGGGAAAAAACGATCTGTGAAAAGGAACACTCTTAATTCCTGTTATGATGTTGATTTGGGGTTAGTAAAGACAAACGCCAAATAACACGTAACAATAAAAAGGGGTTTATTAGGTTGGTAAGTTGGTACAGAAATCGCCTGAGTAGTCTATAACTAGCTCAGCCCAGAACTTCTTTCTATCCTCTGTCTTTTGACATGCCCCTATTTAACGTGTTTGTTTGTAGACAAGTTCATCTTCAAGAGGGGTGGTAGGTTTCCTACACAACAATTCCATAATCCCTGGAGATAGCAGGGAAAAAAACGTATAACTGTCTTCAAGAATGCATTGTAATTTAGAGACTGTAAAGAAAAGGAGTATGTGGAGGACCATAAACGTCTAAGGTCTGAAGGAACATATCATTATAAAGAGTAAATTGCTGCTTTAACTGTTATTTGCAAAATATAAACTGATCGTTCATAGAGAAATACTTAACTGGTTTTATATAGTCAGATGTAAAGATATTTTATACTGTGTCTATAATATATACAACTCAATGGATTTAGTGACTTACGTGCTAATCTTAGTTTGATAAGTTTCCCTACCATGAGATGGAAATATCTTCTACGCTGAATAATAAATAAATTAGCAGGATAATAATTTGCTTCCTTATAAAAATAATGCTTACTTTAAGGATTGACCATTGATAATCCCTTTGTAACTGATTTTCATTGCGTTTCTATTGTAAAAATAAAAACATGCATTTCTATAGTAAAATTATTATGCGATGTTTCTATAGTAAATACCATAAGCATAGTATTTGCATAATACATATTTGAAAAATAAGCTTTCTTTTAATTCCAGTTTTCTGCCATTCAGGTTCTTCTACAGTAAAAGTATTAGCCAAGATTCTTAATTGATTTCTAAAGTATAAGAGCCAGCAATGCATTTTGAAAATGCATATAATTTGGTTATTCTATTTGTAGTAATTTTCCAAGAGTAGCTTAGATGTAGCACAAGGCCGAAAGTATGGGGCACCCAGTGAGGATCGAACTCACTACTCAGTCGTAATTGTTCTAGCGAGACAAGATTGCTAACCATTACACCACCTCGAGCTATCTTATGACCTTCCAAGCGTAGCTTAGATGTGGGGAAATTATGGAGGATCGAACTCACTACTCAGTCGTAACTGTTTCAGAGAGACAAGCTTATTAACCATTACACAACGCCGAGGTGCCGAAAATGTTTTTTTTCTAAGCATAGTTTAGATGTAGCACAAGACCGAAAGTGTGGGACACCCAGTGAAGATCGAACTCACTGTTCAGTCGTAATTGATCTAGCAAAACAAGCTTGCTAATGGTTATTCTGTTAGTAAGACATTTATTAATTACTAACCCATGACAATGCCTTCAAATGTATTCCTCTAGCAAAATATTAACAAGTCATTTATATAATATATATATATATATATATATATATTTATATAGTGTAACCCGGATATAAGAGAGTTGTCGGGACCGGAGAAGAAGTCTCTTATATCCGGGTTTCTCTTATATCCGGGTTTGGCCTATTTTGTTTAGGTAAGTATGGGCTCTAATTTGGGACCAGAGAAAATCTCTCTTATATCCAGGTTTCTCTTATATCCGGGTCTCTTATATCCGGGTTACACTATATATATATATATATATATATATAAACCTATTCCCTTAATAACCATTGCATTAATTACTGACCCCTAACAATCACTCCCCTCTCGAATTTCAATGCATTCCTATAACAAATCATTAAAAATTAATATGTCATGATTGCATTAATTAGCGATACAGGGATGGTCGCTTTCATCCTGAATTTCAATGCATTCCTATAGCAAAACATTAACAATTCATTTTCCCGAATATATGTAATAATCCTATTCCCTTAGTAAAGATTGGATTAATTCCTGAACCCTGACAATTCGTCCTGAATCTCTTTGCATTTGTTTAGCAAAACATTAACAATTCATTTGCATAATATATATAATAAGCTTATTTACTTAGTAACCATTTCATTAGTTCCTGACCGACTGACAACCCTTTTTCTTGCTGAATTGCAATCCATTTCTATAGAGATGCATTAAAAATTCATTTGACTAATATATATATATATATAACAAGCCTTTTCCATTAGTAACGATTTTATTAATTCCCGATAACCACTTTCTTCCAGAATTTCAATGCTTTTCTATTACAAATGATTAACAATTAATTTGCATAATATATATAGTAAGTCTATTCCATTAGTAACGATTGTATCTCTTCCTGACCCATTGACAATACCTTTCTTCCTGAATTTCAATGCATTTCTATAGTAAAACATTAACAATTAATTTGCATAATAGATATAAGCCTATTTCGTTACTAATTGTTGCATTTAACCCATGACCCCGTGACAATCTATTTCTTTTTGAATTTCAATGCAGTAAAACTTCTCTAGTAAAATATCTCATTTGCATAATATATATAGTAAGCCTATTCCCCTAACAGCGTCTTCTTTAATTCCTGAACTCTACTAATAATTCCTTTCCTCCTGGATGTTCAATGTTCCCTATAGGCATTGAACGTGCAATCTTTCTAATAGACGTTTTGTACGAAAAATTATAAAATTTAACTTTCAAGTTTTCCCCTACTAGCAGATATAATTCCATCAACCAACTGAAGACAAGCATAGGAATGGTAAAAACCAGTTGTAAAATTGAAACATTGCCTTTGCTACCAGTTTCAAACTGTAGTCGCTACTAAAATGCTGCCTTTAACACTATTCCATATTTTCTCTGTGGGAAGTATTTTCTATCTTGTCGCTATATATGTAATCATTCGAGTGAACGTTTTCACGCATCTGTTTAACAATTATTAAGTTTAGAGTTTTGTATTGTAAAAAACATTAACAATACATTTCTGTAGTAAAATCACTTCCTCTGAAACCCTTCTAGTATAATACATACGAATATAATGGTATATATTATTAGCATTTGAAGTGAGATTATGTCAGAGAGAATGAAAGTTCTGATGGTGAGATTCATTCATTTCTTCCAGAGTTCCAATGCATTTCTATTGCAAAACATTAACAGATCGTTTACACCATTATGTATAATAAGGTATTTACTCTGTTTTCTCACTAAGACGAGTTTTGACATAAGGTGGGGACACGAGTGCGTACACCTGGACCAGGAACAAAAAATTGCCCTCAGCCCCACCGCCACAGTTGGTTGCGGTAGCCTCGGTTTGGGCACTGATCCTTCTCTCTGGCGCAATCAGAGTTCGCTGCCTCGGGCAGCTGTTCCCCAGGGCTGGGCACCTCTCAGTATAATTTTCTTTTTCCAGTTGCGGCTCTGTCCTTTGACAGAGTCGCCCCTGTATGCACTCTTCCCAAAGAGAGAGACGCAACTGAAAGATGATAAATTTTAGTGTTGAGGGAGGGGGGGTTACACACTAAAAGCCTATTCCACTAGAAACGATTGCATTAATTCCTGACAGCGATGAGAATGCATTTATTTCTACTAGTTTCTACTGCAAAAACCAACAATATATATATTATATATATATATATATATATATATATATATATATATATATATATATATATATATATATAGTTATAGAAAAAGCCTATTCCAGTAGCAACGGCTGGCTTAATTCCTGACTACACAGACGATACTTTTCTTCTTTTCAATGTATTACTATAGAAAAGCATTTACAATTATTTGCACAATATATATATATATATATATATATATATATATATATATATATATATATATATATATATATGTATGTATTGTAAACCTATTCCCTTAGATTGTATTAATTCCTCAATTTCGATGCATTTCTATATTAAAACATTAACAATCCGTTTGCATAATATATGTAATAAGCCTATTTTATTAATGCATACACAAGCCATTTCCTTCTGCGGAAACATTCGGCCTTCATTGAAAGAACACTTCGTATTACTGTTGGTTGAAACTTCTTCTTCTTTTTCTTCTCCTCCTCCTCCTCCTTCTTCTTCTTCTTCTTCTTCTTCTTCTTCTTCTTCTTCTTCTTCTTCGTCTTCTATCTGCCGCATCCCTTCAGGACGTGGGCAATCATGATTTTCCAAAACATCCTCCCCTTTTTGGCTATCAGCATTTCTTCCCCCTTTGCTAAGACCTCCCAGCACCATCTATTCACAAAAGCTCGTCAGGTAAGATGTGACACAAGGTCAATTGTTTTTGGTATGGCGAGCGCCATACACATCCGTATCCATATGGCCAAAGGACATTTTATCCAGTTCCCTGCGACCACTGTCAACCTAGCATCAATATCACACACGTCCCCACCTCTCTTAATGCAATAATTAATTTAGCAAAGTTTCTTAATCGCTCTGTTTATGGAATTCTTAGTATCCTTCTGTAGTGCTGCATTTCACTTGCCTCCAGTTTTCTCCTCATCCGTGTAGAGATTACCCAGCATTCACTTCCTTATAAATGGATCGATATCACTTAGCAATACAGCCCTTCTTTTTCTTCTTCTATGTTCCATGTCCCTTCAGGTCGTTGGCAATCATGGCTCTCCACAATTTCCTGTCACTTTTAGCTCTTAATAACTTTGGACTCTTTATCATCTCTCCCAAACCCTACACAGCCATCCATTCGCTCAAGGTCACCAAGCTTTTCTGTGGCCCTCTTGCTTTCAATCTGTCCTGTGAGTAACAAATTTTCCAAGCCCTCTTTTCCCATTATGTGCCTAGAAATGTCAACTGTCTCTTTTCTTCGTCGTTGCTCACATGTTCAGTCTATGGTATTCTCAGAATCCTTCGGTAGAGCCACATTTCTGTTGCTTCACGTCTCTCTGTGAGGAGACTGTCCAGTATTTAATGTCATAGAAGAGGATTGATGCTGCATAACAGACCAGTAATCTTTTCTTTGCTTTTAACGATATTTTTTCTGTTTCTTAATACTTTGCTTAGCTTTTGAAAGGCATCTTTCGCTATGCCAATGCACCTTCGCATTTTCAGACCTCTGTTCAAACACTTTCCTGACTGCAGTGCTCTTTTCTCTGTCTCGAACGATGTTTTCCAGTTTCTTAATACTTTGCTTAGCTTTTGAAAGACATCTCTCGCTATTTCAATCGACCTTCGGATTTCAGTGTCGCACTTTCCGACCTCTGTTCACACACTTCACAAAATGCAGTGCTCTTTTCTCTGTCTCGAACGATATTTTCCTGTTTCTTAATACTTTGCTTAGCTTTTGGAAGGCGTCTTTCGCTATTCCAATCGACCTTCGGATTTCAGTGTCGCTCTTTCCGACCTCTGTTCAAACACTTCCCAGACTGCAGTGCTCTTTTCTCTGTCTCGAACGATATTTTCCTGATTCTTAATACTTTGCTTAGCTTTTGGAAGGCATCTTTCGCTATGCCAATATGCTTTCGGATTTCAGTGTTGCGCTTTTCGTCCTCTGTTAATACGCTGACAAGATATTTAAATTGCTGCACCTATTTTATTTTGGTATCCCCCATTTGTAATTTGCATATTGGCCTGTCCCTTTTGCTAACAACCATGCAATCAGTTATATTACAGTTGATATTTAGGCCTTCATTATGGTCTTCCTTAACTTTAATAAGGCCCTAATTATGTTTTCAGGGATTAAATAAACTGAGAAAGGGTTTCCATAAAATCTTTTTTTGTTTTTCAATATTTTGATAAATTTAGGGAGATTTATTTTTATGTATAAGGATGATTTAATGATCAATTATTATCTCGCTGCAAACATTTTTTTTAAGTTCCTTTAAGTTATCTTCCAAGGTTAAAGAAAGATAGAAATAAAGAAATATAGAAATAAAGAAAGAGAGAAAGAAAAGAGAGAAAGAAAGAAAAGAAAGCCAAAAAGAGAAAAATGACAGACAATAAGAAAGGAAAAGGAAAAAAAAGAAAGAAGGAAAATAAACGAAAAGGATAAATGAATAAAGACAGAAAGAACGAAAAATGGAAATAAATGAAAGAAGAAAAGAAAAAAAAAGCAAGAAAGAAACAGTGAAAAAAAAAATAAACGAGAAATCCCGAAAGAAAAAAAGCAACAGAAATCGAGAAATGAACGGTGAAAGCTAAAAATATAACGAGAAACAGTAGGAAAAAAAAATATAAAGGAATGAGTGAAGGTAAAAAATAAAGAGAAGAAAGTACAAAGAAGAAAAGACACAAAAAATTAAACAAGAAAGAGAAAAATGACAGGAAAAAAAATTTAAACCAAAGTAAAAACAGAATGAAAGAATGAATGAATAAAAGAATAGGAATAATATTAAGAAATAAAAAGCTAAAATGGTGGGAAGAAAACGTAGAAAGAAACAAATGTAAAAAAAAAAAGACTTTTAAAAAAAGTGAAAAAAAGTAAGAGAGAAATAGAAAAATAAATCAATAAAGAGAAAAACGAATTAGAAGCTTAAAAAAGAAAGAAAGCGACAAGCAAGCAAGCAAGTGAGAAAGAAAGAAGAAAAAAAAGAAAGAAAGAAACGAAAGAAAGAAGACAGTGACAAACTTCGAGAAAGAAAGGAAGAAAAGAAAGAAAGAAGATAGCGACAAATGTAAAGAAAGAAAGGAAGAAAGAAGACAGCGACAAACTTAGATAAAGAAAGGAAGAAAAGAAAGAAGACAGCGACAAACGTAGAGAAAGAAAGGAAGAAAAGAACGAAAGAAGACAGCGACAAAGTAGAGAAAGAAAAGAAAGAAAGAAAGAAAGAAGACAGCTACAAACGAAGAGAAAAAAGGAAAAAAAAGAACGAAAGAAGACAGCGATAAACGTAGAGAAAGAAAAGAAAGAAAGAAGACAGCGATAAACGTAGAGAAAGAAAAGAAAGAAAGAAGACAGCGATAAACGTAGAGAAAGAAAAGGAAGAAAAGAAAGAAGACAGCGACAAACGTAGAGAAAGAAAAGAAAGAAAGACAGCGATAAACGTAGAGAAAGAAAAGAAAGAAAGAAGACAGCGATAAACGTAGAGAAAGAAAGAAAGAAAAGAAAGAAAGAAGACAGCGACAAACGTAGAGAAAGAAAAGAAAGAAAGGAAGAAAGAAGACAGCGACAAACGTCGAGAAAGAAAGGAAGAAAAGAAAGAAAGAAACGAAAGAAAGAAGACAGTGACAAATGTAAAGAAAGAAAGGAAGAAAGAAGACATCGACAAACTTAGAGAAAGAAAGGAAGAAAAGAACGAAAGAAGACAGCGACAAACGTAGAGAAAGAAAAGAAAAGAAAGAAGACAGCGACAAAGTAGAGAAAGAAAAGAAAGAAAGAAAGAAAGAAAGAAAGAAGACATCGACCATCGACCATCGAAGAGAAAAAAGGAAGAAAAAAAATCAGCGACAAACGTAGAGAAAGTAAAGAAAGAAAGATGACAGCGAGAAACGTCGAGAAAGAAAGGAAGAAAAGAAAGAAGACAGTGACAAACGTAGAGAAAGAAAAGAAAGAAAGAAGACAGCGAGAAACGTCGAGAAAGAAAGGAAGAAAAGAAAGAAGACAGTGACAAACGTAGAGAAAGAAAAGAAAGAAAGAAGACAGCGAGAAACGTCGAGAAAGAAAGGAAGAAAAGAAAGATGACAGCGAGAAACGTCGAGAAAGAAAGGAAGAAAAGAAAGAAGACAGCGACAAACGTAGAGAAAGAAAAGAAAGAAAGAAGACAGCGATAAACGTAGAGAAAGAAAAGAAAGAAAGAAGACAGCGATAAACGTAGAGAAAGAAAGAAAGAAAAGAAAGAAAGAAGACAGCGACAAACGTAGAGAAAGAAAAGAAAGAAGACAGCGACAAACGTAGAGAAAGAAAGGAAGAAACGAATCAGGTGAAAGAAGGTAGGAATGACGTATGAAGGAAAGAAGTGAATATTCAAATCATGCGAAAAGAAATCGTTGAACGTCTGTGTTCATTTCACGTATGTGCGCGAAAAAGATAGCACAGATCATTAAGAAAAGGGGGTGTGGCTTGTCTTCTAGTTGTAACAGTTGCATATTCCCAGATATTTATGCTCGAATCCAGGTAAAAAGTCAGGCTGAATCAAAATTTGCACGCGCAGCCAGGCCTTGCTTACCATTGTCAAGGTTAGCGAAAAAGTAATCTTCAGAAAACTTATAGTTGCAATAATCTTAAAAACGAAGCGTCTTATCTTTAAGCACTGGTTATAGAGGTATTGTTGTAGGTCATTGTATTAAATGGTCTACCACTTTAAGTGACCTTGTGTCAAACAGAACTCAGATGAGTGACAATGCTTGAATGGCTACACGAGATCTTTTTCGATCACTACAATTTTAACCTCTTCAAGTTAAGCGTTATCTCTCCTTCATATCCACTTCATCTGCATTTACTTCTTCTTACTTCGGTACAACAATCTCATTCAATAAACCTCTACCTTGAGTAGCTCCGAGGCCATGGATTAGGGAAATCATCAAGAAAAAAATGATAGACAGATATAAACGGACTGACATATACAGATATAAAGCTATGAACAGACAGATTTAAATGGACATGAGCCGACGGACAGACACATAGATAGATAGATAGATAGATAGATAGATAGATAGATAGATAGATAATGAATACACTCAGATAGATAGATAGATAGATAGATAGATAATGAACACACTCGGATAGATAGATAGATAGATAGATAGATAGATAGATAGATAATGAACACACTCGGATAGATAGATAGATAGATAGATAGATAGATAGATAGATAGATAGATAGATCTATCTATCGAGAGAAGAGGTACTTTATGTAACAAACTCCCAGGAAGTTGCTTCCCCGATTACTACAATCTTAACCTCTTTATGTCTAATGGTCAACTATTTTCTATCCTACATATCCCCATAATCTTCACTTAATGTTCCCTTCTTTTATCATACAATAGCATCACTCCGTAAACTTGAGTGGCTCTTGCGCCTTGCATCGGGCGAACACTTATTGAAAGTCAAACTAACCCCAGTATGTTTTTAAATGCCACATGTCTTCAGGATTTTTAATATCAAGGCTCTCCACTGTTTTCTTCGACATTTTAATATCTGCGAATTATCATGATTTCTAAGAAAAGTGTGCCCAATAGGCAAGGCCACAACTTGAACTCGGCTCGTCGATGTCACTTTATGGTCTACTAACCATTACGCTGCACACAACTATATCGCAAATATATACGCAAGATGAAAGCGCATAACAGTGACTGTGTGTGTGTGTGTGTGTGTGTGTGTGTGTGTGTGTGTGTGAGAGAGAGAGAGAGAGAGAGAGAGAGGGAGAGAGGTAGGGAGATAAGTGAGATAAGGACAGATGTGTGTGGGGGGTAGAAAGTAGAATGTGACAAGCCTTGTGGTTTAACTACTATATTTTCTTCCGGAAGGTCGGTGTTCGCGTCGAGATAAATGCTACATCGTAAATGCCTATTTTGAGAGAATTCGGTAAAGGGTCGTCTATTTCAAAACATGGCCAAATGCAGTTTTCTTCTTTTATTTTAATAAATGCTGAGAAAAACGCGTTAGATAAACCGTGCGATATCTCTCGTGTACAAATTATTAGAAGTCTGCGCTAAAGCAGGCAGGCAGGCAGGCAGAAAGAAAGAAAGAAAGAAAGAAAGAAAGAAAGAAAGAAAGAAAGGAGAAAGAGAAAGAAAGAAAAAAGTAAGAAAAAAGAAAGAAAGCGAATAAGAAACTGAGAAAGAAGAGAAAAAGACAAGAAAAAGAAAAAGACGGAACGAAAAGAATAAAGGGAAACACGAGTAAGCAGGAAAGAAAGAAAGAAAGAAAGAAAGAAAGAAAGAAAGAAAGAAAGAAAATTAGAAAGAAAACAGCGAAAGGTGAAGTAAAAAGAAAGAAAGAAAAAGAAAGAAAGACAGCGAAAAAGTAAAGAAAAAAGAAAGACAGCGAAAAGCGTAAAGGAAAAAGAGAAAAAGAAAGCGAAAAACTTTAAAGAAAAAAAAAAAGAAAGCCTAAGAAAGAAAGCGAAAAGCGTTAAGATGAAAGAAAGAAAAAGAAAGAAAGACGGCGAAGACGGTAAAGAAAAAAAGAAGGAAAGAGAAGAAAAGACAGCGAAAAGCGTTAAGAAAAAAGAAAGCGAAAGAAAGACAGCTAAAAGCGTAAAGAAAGAAGAAAGAAAGCGAAAGAAAGACAGCTAAAAGCGTAAAGAAAAAAATAAAGAAAGAGATAGAAAGACAGTGATCAGCCTAAAGAAAAAGAAAGAAAGAAAGAAAGACAAATAAAGAAAGACAGCAAAAAGCGTGACGAAAAAAAGAAAGAAAAAGAAAAAAAACTGCGGAAAGAAAAAGACAACGAAAAGATAAAGAAAAAGAAAGGAAGAAAGAAAGAAAGAATTAAATATTTTAAAAGAAAAATGGAAGGAAAAATAATATTCAATTCATAACGTTATAGGAAAAGAAATCGCTAGGCATAATTTTAGTAAGAAGTGAAGAATTTTTTTTTATGATGGATCTAGCAGTAGTGCAACTTCGCTTAGTAGTCTCTGGAGGTGCACTTTATTTAAAATAAATATCAGATAGACTTTTAAGGTTTTATAAGTGTGGCTATGTTGTATTATTTTAAAAAATGGAACGTAAATACAGGAAATCAAAAAATAACGACAACGAAAAACGTAACGAAAGAACAGTGAGTAAATAATACAAAAAAAAAAAATATGCGTTTTCCGGGATTCTGTTAGCTTTTTTTTTTCATTGTCTTATTAAAAAAAAAAAAAAAAAAAAAAAAAAAGACATCTTATAGGAATATATAAAATATATATATATATATATATATATATATATATATATATTCATTGTTAATGAATAAATTAAGTTTAACGTTAAATTGCCTGCTGTTATCGGAGTAGTAGCAAATTTACAGCTGGCATCGACAAGCGGTTTGAATCGATCTCCAATCGTAATTGTTTATTTCGGAGCCTGTTCCTTTCTATGTCTTCATTCGTTCTGTTAATAGCAAACATAATAGTAACGCAGGTTTCTACTGTGGCGTCTGATGCTATGATTTAAAATGGTGACAGCTTTTCGGGTTCAATCCGAACTATGACGCACCTGAAGAAAATCGATTTTCACCTTGGATTATATGACTTACCTGCTGTTTCCTCGTCCCGGAAGAGGTTAGCGATCATTACTCGGGGCCTAATGCGTCTTTTAAAAGGTGAAGTGAATAACCTTAGCACGGCTAAAAAGAATCTACTTTAAACTTTGATTGTATGCAACATTTTGTAAGACGTTATCGTACAAATAAATGCGATCTAGATCAGTCCAGACCCCACTAAGGATAAAGGGTAAAGATGAAAGCATAAACACTTTGGATGCTAAAATATGAAAAAAAAAAAATCATTTTGCAACATTTTAAGCAAAAAAATAAATAAATAAATAAAATAAAATAATTAATTTAATTTAAAAAAAAATTAAATACCTGAAAAAATGGTCAAGTGGATCGATCCAAAAACTTCCAGAAATCACTCTTACGTGTGGTGGTTCTCTAAGCGAAGCTTATATGTCACAAAAAGACTGAATGCATGGATCATCTGGTGAGAATCTCACTCACAATTTAGTCGTAATTGATCTGTCGAGACAAGATTGCTACCAGGAGATCACATTCATATATATATATATATATATATATATATATATATATGTGTGTGTGTGTGTGTGTGTGTGTGTGTGTGTGTGTGTGTGTGTGTGTGTGCGTGCGCCTTCCTGTGAAGAGTTCAACGTTAGGTTTTGGGATCTGGAGCTTGAGATACATATTAAAATTTGCATCAGGTGGATGAGTGAAACATGAATCTTTTCATTTGTCAGATCAGACACAAAAGGGAAAACTTCAGACAGAAGAATTCAATGAGATACCCTTGCTTCGTATACCTTTTTTCTTACGTCAGGTGCTATTTTGCCAGATTACCGCTCTTTTATCTGTAACAAGATCAAAAAGTTACATTTTTATTAGCAGGTAATTTCAACCAGGCTTATCATAATAACATCGGAGACATTACTTTTGAAGTGACCCTCATATGGTCGGGCACGATTCTTCTCTCTCTCTCTCTCTCTCTATATATATATATATATATATATATATATATATATATAGATAGATAGATAGATAGATAGATAGACATAGAAAACAACACTGAATGGCGACAAGTAGATTAAAGTCTTAAGATCATAAAACTGTGTATTGCTCTATCCTATGTATGCTAGAACCTATACAAATAGTGTCTAAGTTTCTACACTGCTTTATATATATATATATATATATATATATATATATATATATATAGATAGATAGATAGATAGATAGATAGATAGATATAGATATATCAATCTCTCTCTCTCTATCTATATATATATATATATATATATATATATATATATATATATATAACCATCCGCAGACAGACTGGTTGTATCACAGCTCATCAATGTAGCTAGACATCCGATTGCTTCAAGCGGGATGGAAACCTGACCGATTTGGCATCAGTCAAAGATTCTACGCCCAATCGTCGCACGGTAGAGCGGAAGGGAAATGTTAAAGTTTTTAAGACGTCAATAGCTAAGAGAGTTCGATTCGAGTAGAAGAGTATTGCATTAGCAGCAGACACACAAACACACACACACACACACACACACATATATATATATATATATATATATATATATATATATATATATATATATGTGTGTGTGTGCATTGCCTACATATGAATCAGCAACCCACGTTGATTGGCAGTTTTGCCCCACATTGTAACCTCTAGAGAATTTGCTAGTACTCTTTTAAGGGGCGCTACACTGGGGTCAGCTGGCAAGTTCATAAGCTAACCAAGCTATAAATGCAAGTAGGTCGTTGCCGTACCGGTTAATAGCATTAAAGACATGCAAGTATACTCGAATACAACCGAATACCATGTATAGCAGAATACAGAATACATGTTTCAGAATACAGATTACCGGAATACAAAATGCCACAATACAGAATAACAGAATGGGATAGTTAGTCTCATTACATTTATATCATGGTCAGCCTGTGAACTGTCCAACTGATCCTTGTAAATAATCATTGTAGGATTAAGGAAAGACGTTCGAATCACTCGCTTCACAGTTGTTTTCTTAATGGCTAATCCTTTGGATTATTTGTATTTATCACTTTTAGATAGCTTTTTTTATTAATATTTTTAATTTATTATTGATTAATTTTATTAATTTTTGTATTTCATCTTTATTTATTTATTCTCTATATTTTCTCTTAGACTTTTTCTTTGCTTCTAAGTTTTGGCATTTACAGTTTATTACATTTTTGTTATGGAGTGTGATTTAGTCTTTTTGTGCATGATGTGGTTGTAGCTATCGTATTAGGAATTTGATTTCGTGCTTGCATTTGGTAATATATAGTTAGTCATTTAGTCAGTTTAACTTAGTGCATTAAAAAAACAAAAATATGTCAAATGTGAACCGGAAAGAAGGCATTTTTCCGTGAGCCCTCACCACTACCGAGTACGACACAATGGCCAAGATTTTATGTGGGTTTACCATCAAGACCGAGGAAAAAATTCTCAAATCCCCCTCGGCACTTCCCTTTTTTTGAGAATGCCCCAGACGATGGGTCATGAACCCAGCACCCTCCCGAAGTCAAATTTCTGTCTGAGGTATGGTCCCCTGCAGCTTGAGCAAATATAAATTTCAAACTACCCTTGTAGGAATTATAATACTGTCAGGAAGATTATACATGAATATGCCAAATGGACATGACATTGCTTCCTTGGAACACAGCATTTGAAATGTGGAATTTTTATCTTTTTGTATCATCCACTGTATACGGGCATTGTTATAAGACAGGGTTTCTTAACCCAGGGTATCCAGACCCCTTGGGGTATGGGAAACAAATGCTCGGGGTATGGGACTCGGTTTCTGGGTACTGGTAGTTCCCACCGACCCCGTGTTGTGTTTGACTGTCTTTCATTTTTCTTTTCACAGATTTGGTGCAAAATGTCTGTCAAAAAAAAAAGGAAGTGTAATGATTCAATGGCAATTAGGGCAATGTATATTTTGGTCACCTTCACAACTACGTATCTCTGTAAAACAGGATTCTCTGCATTATTAAATCTGAAATAAAAATGGAGAAATCGACTTGATGTGTCAGATGATATGCGAGTAGCTTTGTCAGTAACTGTACCACGATTCCATGCTTTGATTGCACAAAAACCAACAGCAGATATCTCACTAGATTAGTAAAAGTCTGTTTTATTGTAGTCTTGCATATTTATGTTCTCTTCCTTTTTCTTGGGTAATAAAACTGAATTATAACTTTATTTTGCTTTCATTAAAAAAAAATATAATAAAGTTATCAATGCTTATGGTTTTTTTTTTCATGTTCTATTCGTAGCAATCCATATCTAAACTAAAGTAAATTCAAGCGATTGAAATATATGGAAGACATACTGGCAAATAATAGGATTGATGATACTTATTTCGACAGTCAAATGAAGGGGTTATGGGAACATATTGGATAATCCATTGGTGGTCTAGAATCATCAAAATGTTAAGAACTCCTGATATAAGTATTATGGGAACTTACCCATAATAATAATGGACTATTCCTGATATTATAAACACTGCGCCTCTCAAGAGGTATCAGGAGATATTGTAAGACGAGGAGAGATAATTGAGAGCATATTGTAAGGACATTGGAATAGTGCTACTTGTCGAGACAACATAGTTCACTCTAACCAAATCTGATAGTCATTACTAATACTTCTACTTCTTTGTATTATATTTCTGTTGTAATATATCTTTGTATTCCATACCTGTGTTCGTGTTATTCTGTCATTGGTTCTAACCATTGGACCATCACCGTCGTACAAAGAAACTTGGACCATAACAATAAGATATTTAATTTTTAGGACATATAAACATAATATCTACATAACCAGTAATATCTGGTTACTGAGGCATTATGGTTATAAGTCCCTAAAGTTCATGTACAAATGGTCCACTGGTAAAAGCGTTGGTTGAGTCCAGTGACTTGACCTAAAGAGTTGTGTGTTCAATACTTAGCTACAGCAGAGGTGTAAAAAAACTTTCTGGTTTGAGTTAAAAAGAAGATAATTGATACTGAGATATCCGGGAGACTAAACCGATCTATCTCGGTGAACGAGATAAATGTTTCAGTTCGAAATTTCAATCACCCGAGGAAGGCCGGAACGTACAACGTTCGAAACGTCATGAATATGGCAACAAAGATGCGACCAACAGTCCGAACAATGTAAGTAGTTTAAATAACGATAATACCTCATTTCAGAAATATAGACATATGTACGAGTTTTTTAGCGGGGTTGTTGTTGTTCTTTCAGAAATGATCCACCCGGTTAATATTAACGTGAAATAGCCGGATTGCCACACTGGCACCCTAGTCGCATTCAATTACTCCATTTCAGTCTTCCCACACATATTCCAACATGACTTCTCCTTTTCAAAGATGTCGGCAATGTCCCCTTTTGGGATCAAATTTAAGCATCAAGTTGCGCTTTTTTATTCTCATCCTGGGGCCCAAAACTTTTTAATCTCATCCGTCGCCTCTCTCTGTCTTTTTTACAAATACTTTCATGGTAATTGCTCCAAGGAGCTGCATTAGCTGGTTCCCAGACTTCATGAATTCAAGCGCCCTACGAGGCTGGCATCCCGCTCTCACACTTTCACTGTCGAAACTACTAAATGTAGCCGTCTCTTCTACTCCAATAACTTCATATCTCGCACCTCTCGCCTGTGGAACTCCCTTCCCTATTCCAGTTTCCCTGAGGGCTATAATCTCCAGCTATTCAAATGTAATGTTAATCGACATCTCCAGTTGCCTTGATCTATCCACTATCCTTCTCCTCATCCTTTCCTCTATCACTCTTATCTGATCTTGCTCCAAATCTTCTGTAACCCCTTGCGTCCTAGTGGCTTACTGCCTTGCTTGGGGTGAAATGCTTAAAAAAAAATAAATAAAAAGTTCTTATTTTCATCGACAATAACCGGAAGTTACAGAACGCAAAGTTTGGATTTTAGGGAAAATGGTGAATATGGTGGATACGATGTTCGTTCAGGCAGACAACCATAAGTGAAACCAGAAAAAAAGACATTAAATTTC